GTAGATCAAAAATCTTGCGGCGCGCTCCTCCAAAACTAATTACATTGGCGCAATTAAATTGTTCTGTTGTGAATATTGCACTTGTCTTGTTAAGCAAGAAAAAAAACAACCACTGAAACATCGACAACTATTGCAACTATTGCAACTATTGCAACTATTGCAACTATTGCAACTATTGCAACTTTTGCAGCTATTGCAACTATTGCAACTATTGTTTTGTTGCGAATTTTGCACGTGTCTTGTTAAGCAAGAAAAAAAACAACCACTGCAACATCGACAACTGAGCGGACATTTTATCTCAAGCAGTGCTCGTATTTGGATCAGAGCTCGTGTTTGGAGGTTAACTCGTGAGTTGGGAGCAGAGCGCGTGTTCGGGGTACAGCTTATTTATGGATTGGTGCCCGTTTCGGATGCAGAGCCGGTGCTTGGAGCTCGTGTGTGTTTGGTACAGAGCCGGTGCTTGGTATTCGTGCTTGGAGAGAAGCTCGTTTCTGGAGCAGAGTGGACCGTGCTCGGGAAGAGTTCGAGTTTGGTTCGAGGAACGCTCGTGATATCATGAGGCGGACTCAGAGAATTATCAAACCGCCTAGTTATCTGGGGTATAATTATCAAACCGCCTAGTTACCTGCGGGTTTGAAGTGGAAGACTTGTTAATATCACGAGATAACATTGACCGCGTAAATGTTACACCGACAAGCAATGGCCGCACAGGATTGACTCAAGTCATGCAAGAACTGCAAATGGAAAATGTGCTACTAGTAACTGATCCGAATCTTGAAAGCCATGACGAAGACATAATGATGGAAGCATTCGGTGCGTCACTCGACAGATCAATATGTCTTGATCATTCGATTTGGACTGAAAGATGGATGTAAAGTGTATGGTTGCCAAAAAGACTATATATTTTGCCTAATGGTAACATTGGTAGGAAGTACGTTGACCTCTTGACACTTGAACTGAAGCTTCTTTCTACCACTGCTGATTCCACTTCAGAAAGAGTGCTGGTGATGAGTCGTGTTTTGTTACAAAGATATCCAATGATCAAAGCATCAAAAGACATTCGAACACTTATTGGAGGGCGCATTGAAGACTTGAAGGAAAACAAATTCGACAAGTTGTTGGCGGAAGCAGTGAGATGTGGCAAAAAGAAACAAATAAATCAAGATGGTTTGGACGACAAACATGTCTCGAAAGTGTTTGCTTCATTAATGATGAAAGGCAAAGTGAGAAGCGCTATGCGGTGACTCTCGGAGAGAGCATGCGGGGTGTGCTTGATCCGATCCAAGAGGAGAAGAAAGTTGTCACCGTTTTAGAGACTTTGAAGTCAAAGCATCCAGAGCCACACAAGTCACGTCTCTCTTCGCAATTGCAAGTGCCAGTTTTATCCAACTTTGAAGATGTTATAATCAGTTCTGCTTCCATTGAAAAGACGACACGTTCTTTGCAGGGCAGCTCGGGAGCTTCGAAAACAGATTCTGAACATTGGCAGATGGTTTTATTACGTCATGGGGCTCACAGATCACACTTGAGAGACGAAGTTGCAACTCTCGCCACAAAAATGTGCAATCGATCCTTACCATGGTCGAAAAAGCGAGTACTTGTTTCTGGAAGATTGATAGCGCTTCATAAATGTCCTGGCGTGCGACCTATTGGCATAGGTGAGTGTCTACGGAGAATAATGTGACCTTGACGAAACATGTTCGACTGATCAATTAGCTTGTGGGCTGAAAGCTGGCGTTGAAAGCTGGCGTTGAAGGAAGGTCCCGCCTTCGGTTAGTTTCCAGAGCCTTCCAAAAGTTTTCTGATTGTCGATAAACAATATGCTGAAGAAGCGCATCTCATATTTGACAAGTACTCGATTACTATAGTGGAAGGGAAGAGGTTTTTGGGCGGTTTCATTGGAGACGGAAATGAGAGGGACATCTACCTGAAAAAGGAAGAACTTGAATGTGTAGACAAAATTGAGAAACTTTCTTTTGTGGCAAAAACAGATTCCTAATGTGCTTTATCAGGACTGACTAAGTCCCTACAAGCGGAATGGAATTTTTCCCATCGTGTTTTGGGTGGTTCTAGTCAGCTTTTTCAACCGCTAGAGAACCTTCTGATGGAGAAATTCTTACCTGCGATACTTGGAACTTCGTCGATTTCCTCAATGGAGAGACGTCTCTTTTGTTTGCCAGCAAGAAAGGGTGGCCCTGGAGTGTCTAACCCAACCAGTTTCGCTGATGAGTCTTACAACATGTCACGGGAAGCAGTTACGGTTCTTTATGATGCAATTTTTGATCAGTACGGTTTTCCCATGAAGACCACAGAAAGCAAATGTCTCGATCGCGGAAAAAACATCATCAAATAATGGAAGAAAAACATGAAGAGTTGTTGGGGGAGTTATTGAATGAGCTACCAGCAGACCAAGTTCGCGCAGTAAAAAGAATCATTGAAGGAAGTTTGTCTGCCTGGCTGACAGCGTTACCGATTGCTGCAGAAAACTTTGATCTTTCGGAAGTGGAGTTTTGGGATGCATTGAGTGTCCGTTATAACAAAAATTTGAACGCTTCGCCAATTTTTTGTGATAGTTGTCAGTCACCATTCACCCTACGGCGTGCGTTAGCGTGCAAAAAGGTGGTCTCTTAACTTTACGGCACAATGAGATTAGGGATGCTGGGGGCGACTTAGCTTCTTTAGTGTGGAAGGATGTACAGAGAGAGCCTGTAAATAGAGAATACAACCCGCAAGATGAGACACCCGCATTAATTGCAGATTTGTTTTGTCGTGGAGCTTATGTTAGACAGGGAGGAGCGCCTTTTGATTTTCGTGTCTCTGACACCGACGCCATCTACTATCAGAACAGAAGCAGAGGTTGAGAAAAAGACATAATTTTCAAACGCGTGTCAGGAAAGACATATGTCTTTCACTCCTCTTGTGTCTGTTGATGGGATGCTCGCTCCAGAACTTGCTAATTTCCTTCGAAGAATAGGAGAAGCATTATCTATCAAGTGGGAGAAACCCTATAGTAAAACTATGAACTGGGTGAAGTGCCGGCTGTCTTTTGCCGTGCTCCGTGCTTCCAGTGTGTGCTTCCGAGGCACAAGGACTAAGTGGAGGAGTCTTGGCTCAGACCATGTTTTATTACCCTAGAGAAATATTTATGGATGTCCTACAATGAAGAGAAATTGGCTAGCTATGTGCAAACTCTGCTAGTAATGTAAAACGTGGACCTAAACGAAACAAAAATGTTGAAAAAATGAACCAAATAGATAATTGCCTGATTTCATTCATTATAAAAAATTATAATCGATTATAATTGTATCGAAAAATAGACGAATAATTAATCGATTATAATTGATTATAATGGATTATAATTAATTATAATTTGATTTAAAAAAGAGAGATTATTATCGATTATTAATTGACTAAAATCAATTTTTTCTCAATTTTAGTGAGACTGGTACTAAAATCGTAATATAATCGATTAATAACGCTTGAAATTGGATGCGGGTATGCATAAAATGTTCATTGCTTTGGTATTATTGAAATATTATTTTTCAGATTAGCTAACAAAAGCTGATATTTTTCAGTTTCTCTGCTCTTCACCCATTCTGCGCTTAGACCATTCTGCTTATTGACTGGCCACCATCATAGATTGATTTTAAACTGAGGGGCAAATTAACATTTATCAAAAGCTGCTATACTTTTTTCTTCAAATTTGATCAAATTGGTCCCCAAGATTGTGAAATATCTTTCCACAATTTGCAGAAAGAAAAACGCCGAGTTATTGGAATGATCACATATTACTTCAGGACGAGGAAGAATGGTTTCTGTGACAGAGAACTACAAAAAATTTACAGCTGACGGAATTTTTTTTGCAAAATTTAACTGCAATCGGCAAGTTTAACAAATAAACCCGGGTCGAGGCCCGCGACTTTTGTAGATCCATAGCCCGGACAGGGTTTTGGAATATACCGTATCTCGGTCTCACTAGTCAAAAAATTAGTCGCGGAAAGAGTGTGGAAATATCGTACTTCGATCTCGAAAATTAGTCGCAGAATGGTCAAAAACTAGTCGCGACATGGTATCTCGGTCGCGATAGTCGAAAAAAGGGTCGCAGAAAGAGCCTGGAAATGATGTATATTTATTGGTCTTGACAGTTAGTTGCGGCAGGGTCATAAATTTAGTCGCGGTATTGTTAAAAAATTGTCGCGGCATTGTCAAAAAATTTGTCGCGGCATGGTCAAAAAACTCTGTCGCGGCGTAGAGCTCGACTAGATGCAGCAAACGTCAGCTAGCGATTCTTTATGTTTGTGATCATATACAAGACCGTCTCAAGAAAGCCTACAAATGGTCCAATATCAACTATAAGCGTTTTAAGGCTACGGAAAAATTGCAGTCAAAAACAAAACGCTAGGAAATAATCACGCCAAACGGGTAGTTCAACATTTCAACTACTCAAATATATCAAACAGTCATATATCAAACAGTCAAATTGATTGACAAACAGCAAATTTTTCCTTAAAAGTTAAAACTATTACAACAAGCAAAACTGTAGAACAAAAAGAAATTGCAATTTCAGCACATTGAAAAACACCCGGGTTGACAAAAAATGCTTATCATATACTATTTCATATTATGAAAAAAATGCCTTAGGTTGCGCCGGTTCCGATGGTGTTTTGAGTCGCGCCGGTCGCGGTGGTTTTTTTTCAGTCGCGCCGGTCGCGGTGGTTTTTTTTAGTCGCGCCGGTCGCGGTGATTTTTTTTCAGTCGCGCCGGTCTTCAATTGCCAAGTTTGAGTCGCGCCGGTCTTTTCTTAAGTCGCGGACCTTGACCCGGGCAAGTCTGTTGTCAGTTTATTTAACCAATTATGAGTAGCTGAAAATCCAATTTGGCGCCACTTCATTATCGCTCATTGGTGCTCTAGTTTGTTCAGCCCATAAATTGATTGGTACATTCTCGAACTCTCTGTAATTTCGCCCGAAAAACATATTTACTTTTGAAAACTTGGCTGTTATGGACCTTATCAACGTTTCTAATTAGCTCTATTTCACTTATAGTCTAAATTACCAAGATATCATTATAGTACTTGAGACAAGCGAGGAAAAACTCGATTGCTTCTCACCTTTCTTACGTTCTTCAAGACTTTTGGTAAAAAGTTTTCCAAATAATCTCTAGTAGCAGTTTTCAATCGCTGCTATAAAGTTTATCGACAGAACAGAAATGAATCAATTTGACTTCTATAGCGAGGGAGTGTTTCCCACAAACACGACATTTAGCGCAGACATAAGTTTCAAGCCGGATGTGAATATGATCACAGTTGTCGGCAACATGGTCTTGTCGGCTCTCTGCATTGCTACCCAACTGGTCATCATCTGTGTCTCTGTGGGGCTAGAGGGAGACTTTTCGGCCAGGAATCTCATCGGCTTCCAGGCCTGCTGCGAGATTCTGAAGCGACTCGCGAGTGTCCATTTTGCGTCTTGTCTCATTCATAGTTAGTTCAGAACAAAAATTGTTTTCTCAAAGATCATCATGAAAGTTATCTGAGACAAAACTTGTCGCCAAGTCAATTCTCCTATTTAAGAGGGCGATCTCAATTTTTAATTAGTTAACTGATTCGAATCACTTTTTACGTAGAAACTGAAATAAATTCATGATGTTATTCAAAGACATGATCCTCTTTAAACGCAATGAAAATAAAAAATGCGCACCCTACTCTCTCAATTCTGATTCTTATACTATTCTCATTTAAAAAATTTCACTAGAAATTGTCAAAAAGTAAAAACGAAAATGTGTGACAGTGACTGATGCATTGTTTGGATTTATTCGGGCAATCTCTTCCCTTAAAGTACTTTAATCCGCGCCCCCAAATGTGTGCATGCGTCTGTGTGCTTTTTTCCCTTGGTAATTCAAAGTTTTGGCATTTTAATTGGTTGCATAACTCTGGAAAGTTTCCATCCACTTTCCAGAGGGAGATAATGTGTAGTAGATCCAGGTTTCTTTTGTTGTTTTCCAGCACATCGCTTCTGTTCCTTCACCCGGAGTCTCATCCAGTGCAAGTTCATGATCTATCTGCCCTCACTGCTCTTTGTCATCCCAGACTGGATGAACCTTCTGGTGTCTCTGGACCGCATCATCGCAGTCAGTCCACACAGTGCGTTCTGGTACAAACAAAACTGCACGCGAAATGCCGCCTGGATTCCGATTGTACTGATGACGTCACTCGTGTCGGTGGTGATGTTTCCGAGACTCATTTTCGGCTCCATTTCCGAGGACGGGTCTGTGTGTCGTGTGGAAACTGGGGAGTTTCTGTTGATGACGGCTACTGAGACCATGTATGTGGGTCTTGCGGCGTCCATCTACGTGGCTATCTGTAATGTCATCCTCATTGCTCTGATGAAGATGAGACCTAGACAGTCTCGAAATGAGAAATCGGTGCGTATTCACCACTGTAAATTTCAGAGACAAACTTCGCAATGAATATAGCATTTATACTCCCGGGAAAACTTCCATAGACCAAAAGAGCTTGTCATGCAATTCCAAAACCTATATCTATGGAAAAATGCCTGTAATAAAATTTCGTTAGGGCGACAATTCGTAACAGGCGGCAATTTGTATCAGGCGACAACGTGTAACATGCCACAATTTGTACCAATGCATTGACAAGTAGAATACGCTTGCTCCACTGCGCTCACATCAGGCACGAGAGAAGTCATTACGAGACCAAACTGTGCGCCGAATTTTGTGTCTGTAGGTCAGTGGAACCCAGGGACAAGTCTTTAAACATGTTCCAAAATATAAGTCGAAATAACATGCAACATTTTATTGGATTCCGCGTATAAAGACCTGTAACGTAAATTTTGTCGGCATTATTTGTTTTGTCACCGATTCCGCAGCAAGCGATTATAGCTGCTTGTTTTGAATTCCACGACTGTAAACGGATTCTGCAAGTTATCCGTGGATTCCGCAAATGTAAGTGCAAACCGCAAATGTAGGCGGATTACGCAAATTTTAACTGCTTACTGCAATTCTGTATTTTACTGAAGCAAACCAATTTGCTTATGAACGATTAAATGCTAGAGCTGTTGCTATTATCTAGCCAATGCGGAAATTAAAAGCAAGGATTTAATCCTTGTCAGCGGAATCCACGAACAAATGTTAAATCCTTGACAAACTCAATCGGTGGATGTATTCTTTGGTAATTGTAATAAATTTCCCAGCAAGCAGCTTTTGGGATCCTTTGAAAAAACAATCATCGAATGAAATCAATGGGTTGATAACGTTTAGAAATACAACGTAAAGCACATCACTGAAAAAGCTCATTATTTGAGACTAGTTGATTAAGAGTGATTTCAAATCATCTGCATTTGAGATGAGATGAGATTGAATTCAAACGTTTTAAGTTATTTCAATTTATCAGTATTTGAGATAAGATGAGAGTAATTTCCAAATTGATTGGCGGGAGGTTTTTTCAGGCTGACTAATTTCACTCCCCGTGGGAGGTTTTGTTTGGGGGAGAGCTTGGATCTTGTTGCTTTATAAAGATTGTCAAAATGATTTAGCCTAATCTGGTTTCTTCTATTTTTTTTCCTCTCTTTGTTTAAAATAACCGCAATGGCGACCAGATTGAGAAAAAAATTATTTAAATGAAATGAATTGAAATTTAAATGATGTGATGAATTTTTTACTCCAGTTTGTTCAGTTTTTTTCAACAATGAAAAGAATTGAAGTTAAAATGAACTGATGGATTGTCTTACTTCAGTGGCAGGTATTAAAATTAAATGTTGGGTGGTATGTTAATTGACAGGAATTGAGATTGAACGGTCGATTTGGCAGTAATTGAATTTGAACATTTGAAATGGCGGGAATTGCGAGAGCGGCGGGAATTGAGTTGACAGTAATTAAGTTGGCAGAAATTCAGTCGATTGGTTGGAGGTGAAAGTCAAGCAGTGGTTGAAATTGTTCTCGCTGGTGACCACCTGGTGACAAACAATTTAAACTAAAACGCTAGTCTAAACGTTACTGCAACCGTCTAACAAAATGCGAATTACGCATTTAGTTGCGGATTTCGCAACATCGCAAACTTATTCTGCATAAAATTTGTAATTAGTTTGTGGCTTAAAAAATTGGCCTGTTTATGGCACAACTCTGAGTGGTACAGTAATTTAGCTAATTGTTTGCGGTATCTTTTTGGCCTTTTGCGGAATCTGCTTACTATTCACAAATTTCACAATTGGCCTCTTAGTGATTTTGCGCGTGAATCAGTGTTTCCGGCTTAACCTACTGTTACGAAATGTCAAATTTTTTGCTCCTTACAAACTGTTGACTCACAAAAAATTTCATTCGTTTTTTGCTAAAATGGTGTAATGCATTTTTGAAAAACAAAACTTTTTTCTTGTTTTGGCATGTGCATAATGTCAGTGTATGGTCCTAAATAAAAAAAATCTATTTGACAAAAAACTTTTTAATGCAAAATTGATCTTTTAACATGCCTTGATACGCAAAAATTTGGGTAGTTTTCTGTTTTTCATAATAACTCAAAAAATATATAGATTTTTTTCAAAATATTTTTGTATGCGTATGGCAAATCATGAATAGTTGAAAATTGAATCGCAAAAACTTAGCTTTTTGGTTGTCAGAGACATCTGTCTTCAGGATGTGTTCAATGCAGTTTTCATGTAAGACCTTTGGTGACTCTAGTTTTCAGTAACAAGGGTCTTCACTTGATCATTTATGTATGGAGATGGTAAAACTCGTACCTTTCCATCCATAAAGAAATATAATTGAACTTAATTCTCAAATTGATTGGGTGCTGTTCGTGGCCGAGCTCAACCAAACTTTTTGAGAAGAAACAAAAAAATTTGTTTTGTTTATATATTGTTTTATGGAAAAAGCTATTCATACAATTTCGTACAATAAAAGTCACTAATCATAAACCTTTCATGCAGTTTTCTGTAGTTATGGTTTTACATGAAAAGTGTCTGACTAACATTTTTCCATATCCTTAAACTATAAGACTAGCTTTCTTGCTCGACACGGGTTTTTCTGGATCACCGTTACTGAGGAGAAGTTTTGAATAAGAGTTTTTGTTACCATTAAGACATCCTGCACTGACAAAAATGGCTTCCAGTCGAGTGAAATTGATATAAATCGATTTTAAATCGATCTGAATCGGCAAACAATGGACATTTTACGAAATTAAATAGATTGGAAATTGATTTAAATTGATCTTTCTTGAAAATTTTGGATCGATTTAAGTGTCCAAAAAACCGATTTAAATCGATTTGGATGGATTTTCCGACTCACTAAAATCCATCCGAATCTCACCTAAATCTATCAGAAACTCACTTAAATCCATTTCCAATCGATTTAAATTGATCTTGTTTGAAAATTTTGGATTGATTTAAGTGTTTATGGAAAAATATTATTCATACAATTACGTATAAAAAATCACTATTCGATAACCTTTCATGCAGTTTTTTGTAGTTATGGTTTTGCATGAAAAAATGTCTGACCAACTTTTTTCCATATCTTTAAACTATATGACTAGCTTTTTGGCCAACATGGGTTGTTCTGATCAACGTTGCTGAAGAGAAGTTTTGAATATGAGTTTTTGTTACCATTAAGACATCCCGCACTGACAAAAACGGCTTCCGGTCGAGTGAAATTGATATAAATTGAAATTAAATTGATCTGAATCGGTTAACAATGGACATTTACGAACCTAACTGGACTTCAAATCGATTTAAATTGATCTTTCTTGAAAATTTTGCTTCGATTTAAGTGTCTAAAAAATCAATATAAACTGATTTGAATCAATTTTCTGACACACTGAAATCGACTTTTTTGCTAACAAGGCAAAAAAACATGCTATTTAGAAAAATAATTGAAAAAGAATTCAAGAAACAAAAAAAATGTCAATACAAACCAGATTTTGAGCTCAAAAATGCAATAAAATTATAGAAAGTCATCATTGTAAATCAGATCTTGGCCAAAAAATCCATGCAACAAATGAAAAAACTGGTCAATATCAATTGGGCAAAAACAAATGTATTAAATAGAACAATAGGCCAAATTTTTAGCTCAACAATATGCAACAAAAATGTAGAAAGCTATCATTGTAAATCAGATTTCGTGGAATAACATATGTAACAAACTAAGAAAATTGTCAAAATAAACCAATATTTGAGCTCAAAAATATGCAGTGAGTCAAATTAAACCAGATTTTGGGCTCAAAAATAAAATATGCACTCATTTATTATCGAGTGTTGGGGGAGAGGGTGGGCGCAAATTCCTTCTCTCCTCCCCCCCCCCCCCCCCCATAAATCCGCTACTGTTAGAAATCCTAAGTTGAAATAAACAAGTTTAGTTTTGAGCTCGAAATAATTCATTTTTGGATGGTATGCTGGGAGCGGGGGAGCGTTGGAGCTGGGAGCGGGTGCAGACTGAGGAGAGGAGAACAGCGGTAACGACATCTAACAGAAAGTTTTAATTTTTTTTCTGCTATTCGAAAATTTGAAGAAATGAAAGAATTTAAAAAAATCTATTTAAACCGATTTAAAATCGATTTAGATCAATTTATTTTTAGGTCCGATTTAAGATCAATTCAAATTGATTTGAAAAGGACTGGAATCCATCTTTTTAGCGTTGATGTTAGATGGATTTGGATCGATTTAAAGTTATTCAAATCGATCTGAAATTTTTTTGAGCAACTTGCTTTTTTACAACTTAAATCGATCTCAATTTGATCTGCATACTAAAATTGATCTAAATTCGTTCTTGTCAGTACAGGATTGCTTCTGAGACTGCTGAGAATGATTACTTTTATTTGACCCTCTCATAATTCTCATGTAAAAGAAAAATCAAAAACAATTGTTGAATTTTGTTTTTGAAACAAATTCAACATTTTTTAAAAAGTTTTTTAAGGAAAGATTGGACATGGCTTTCAGCAAGCATTCTAACTACGAATAAAATCACATATGTAGAAACATAATTGGAAAAAATGAACATCATAAACTCTAAAAATGGATCGTGTAAATTTATTCGACAAGTTATTGTGTCATGCAAAGAATTGTGTAAAACACAATTTTTCAGTATGTCGAATAATTTCACACGATGAAAATTAACCATGTGCTGCAAAATCGTGTGAAAAGTCGAATGTTACAAAAAAAACTACTTGATTCGTTATCACACGTTTCCATCAATTTGAATTTTGCAAATCGAATTTATCAATCGTTAAGAGTAATCAATTCCAAAAAGTCTCAAAGGAACGTCAAACGAAGGTATGACTTTTTTTCAAACAACCTTAGCTCTCAACTGGCAGTCTTAGCAGTCGCTCAATAGGCGTCCTTTTGTAACTCGTTTCCCATGATTTTTTTTTCGCGGTTGCTTCTTCTTTGTTTTGTTTTTTACAGGTAACTACTGCGTTGAAGATCAATTGTGTCATCTTTTCTGTCACTTCTGGTCTGCACTACGGACTC